TGATAATGTTTTGAACTTTTAAAATATTGCATCGTAAAAGCAGACGCTTCACTTCATATTAGTGACAAACTTTGGTGTTTTTTGATGAGTTACTTTCATTTTTGCTTCTATTTTTCATTTAAAATAAGTTTCCATTCTCAGCAGGTTTCTGAGGTTCTTCTTCTACAGACAGTATTAAAAAAGTTGTTAAATGACTAAGTAACGCACTACCACTACTAGTGGTGAGAAAGTGTATTGCACCTTTTTCAAAATCAACGTGGTCCCACGGCCCTCTGTGGCCCAAAGTTAAAAACTGTTGTTCTTTTGAGGCCCTCTAGGTGGCGCTCGCGGCCCACAATTCGGTGGCAATTTGGTGACTCCTGAACAGCTGAAACACAACTTTCTGTCTCCTCCAGGTTCTGATGAAGACGACAGCAGGAGACATTGACATTGAGCTGTGGTCCAAGGAGGCTCCTAAAGCATGCAGAAACTTTGTGCAGCTGTGCATGGAAGGTAAGAAATTTCTGTAAAGTTATACATTTGTTGGAAAAAACTTGTCCAAGAATAGTTGCATACGTATAGCTGACTGTTAAGTGTTTTTGGTGCCTTGTTTGATGCAGGTAAAAAGTTAAACAAGTACATCTTTCTTACTGAGACTGTAGCGCACATATGAGTGAAGCTCTAGCCTGGATACATGCCTCTGGGCCTTTCTGTCCACCAATGTGCTGCTCAGGATGGGAGATTACAACAAAGTGAAGATTCAACACAATCTGCTGGCTTTCTTAGATGGAAACATTTACTAATTTGCATTTTATAATATATGTAAGCCATCATATCGAAACAAGGATAACCGTATTTGTGCATGATTTTATGGACTAAATTTTACGTATTATACTTGTATACAGTTGGGGGGTAGTACTATACTCGGATAAATATTTTTGCTGATGTATTTTAACTGAAATATCGGCTTCATTCACAAAATTATTCAGTCCGGAAATGAAACCCCGTCGTAAAAAGCAGTTGAAGCAATCTTACCTCTAAAACTCCTTCGTGCCTCCGAGCGAGAAATTAACAGATCCAAGCAGCAACATGATGTGAAAAAAAAAAGAAAAAAAAGACAGTCCTGCATAACAAACTAATAATATTAATGTGCGACTGGACCGCTCCTGGAACAACAACAAACACATGGTCGTCTGTAATGGCTGCCGTCTACCGGTGTTCTGTAAAAGTATATAAATAAATATATATACATATAAGACTGCAAAGGCTGAAAAATCCTGAAGTCCATATGAAATTAGAGGTAGTATGAGAATTACATTTTTTATGCTTTTTAGGCTAAAAATTGTGTGTGTGTGTGTGTGGGGGGGGGGTCGTATTATACATGAGATCATATTATACACAAATAAATACGGTAAGTCCAAAAGTGGAATGTGGAAAAATAGGCAGATAAAGGGTTTTGATTTAAACGTGAAAATATTGCATTTTGTCAAAATATAATGAATTAATGCCTTATCAATGTATTATTTGAATGAACTGTCTGAAATATAATCCTTAAAATAATTCTTGAAGCATTTTTTTAGCAATAGCAATAAAAAAACTGATTTTGAGGAAAAACGCCTTTAAATTTTGAAATTTTCCCTGTGAGTTAGCAAAGTTTTTGTTTCTTTACAACTGGGAAATCTCAATATACAAATAATATTTGATGTTTCCTCTTTATATTACAGTAACATCAAAAATGACTCAATAAATTTACAGAAAATCAGGATTCAGACCAAACAGTAATGTATTATTGTAACCAACAAGACAAATGAAGTCATGTCTCTTGATAAACTGATGATATCAGAATGATCCAGGTATCAAAATGTAGCTTTTAAAGGCAGGAATCTGAAAATATTGTTAGGTCATTTTGACCCAATTTGACTTAATCCTATGTGTGTGTATATATATAT